ATGTCTCTTTAACTGATGAAGAAGACGAGGACAACATTCCTTTTAGATTGACTGTACAAAGAAGGATAGTTCCCATCTCCAACAAAGGAAAGGAGAAACTGACAGGGGAAACACCACCAAGGGAATATTCCACCAGGGTGTCACTCAGAAGTTTATGAATGATGCAATAAAGTCAAACAAAGTTAGTACTACATAATGCAGAAAAAAAGAGGAAGTCTGGGTTATAAGAAAAGGTTGTTCCTGATGAAGGGGTAGTCGAAGTTTCAAATGAACAAGAGGAAAGTGCCACTGTATCTGAGGATATTGTTTCTGCAGTGGATAAAAGAAGGAAAGAAACACTGGGCAAGAAGAAGGAGAATTCTAGAAGCAAAAAACCATCAGGAAAAAGGGCCACTGTATCTATGAAGGGAAAGAAGAAAGTAAATGAAGCATCTAAGAAAGAGAGAGAAGTATCACCCAAAGTGTCACCTGACATTGACGAACTGTTTGGAAAATCTGAGTTCGAGTCTGAAGAGGGACCAGGTCCGAAGAGTAAAAAGGTGAAGGTTGAGAAGAAAGGGTCTAAAGAGGATATTGTCAACAATCTGAGGCAACAGAAGGTTCTGAATGGTTGGGTCTTCGTCCTTGAAATAATCTCAAAACCAGGGATGTGCACTCTGGTTTATGCAGTTGAAATCCAATCATGGACCCACTTGTTCACAAACCACACTCATGTTCTGCATGAGCAACAAGTGAAGGATTTTTACTACAACGTTAAGTTTACTGAGGATGGTATCCTCAACACACGAGTAGGGGATAGGATTCTTCATCTGAATAAGGAGAGATTGGGTGAAATCTTGAACGTTCCCAAGGAAGAAAATAGATTCGTAGTCGGGAAATTCTGCTCCAAGGGCTTTCCTAAGGCATGCGGCAAACTCACCAAGCTGAACTGTGTTAGGATCTCCAAGAAACTTCTCTAGAGAGATTATCAACTACTTTTTGAGTTTTTCAACAAAGTGCTCCTTCCCAGATCTGAGAAAAGAACAGTTGCTTCTGCGGCTGATCTGGTTGTGAAGGAGGCACTAAGCACATTCGAGCCCTTGAATCTTCCAACCCTCATGCTAGAGCATATGTACAAGACGGTCATAACTCAAAAAGGAAAACATGGCATGGGGTATGGTTACTTCCTAACCAAAGTGTTCAGACATTTGGACATTCCTCTTGGAGTGGGAATAGTTGGGACTATGAAGCAAACTTTCTCTACGAACACTCTCGTTGAGTGTGAGATCTTGAAAGAAAGGACAGGACATCTAAGCAAAATGTATGAGTTGGTGGTTGATCAGGGTCAACTGAAGCATGAATTGGAAGAGATGACTGCCTTGGTAAGCAAAAGAGATGCTCAGATAGCCTTACTGAAGGCACAGTTGGCAAAATCACAAACAGATAGACCTGGTTCAGCTAATGTCTCTGAGTTGAGGAAGAAGAATGGAACTCTTTCAGCCGAAAATGTTGAACTGAAAGAAAATCTGATCAAACCCAATGATGCTACCAATGATCACCTCACTCTTCTCATCCAATTCCTTACCCAAAAGCCTCCCTCCTCCTAGTCCCTTCCTAATTCTCAGATTAAGTCCTCCCTGCTTCCTTTTATCCTTGTGTAGGCAGTGTCTCGGGTTCTCTTAGTATTTTTATTATAATGTATTGAATGTTTTCCTTAAATGCAATGGAATGGATCTCTGTTTTGTACATGGCCTTGCTTACCTTCATGTTTTTCTTTTTATGCTTGTGTTGCCAATTGGCCATGGTTCTATCAATCTTGCTTACTGTTGATCCTGGTTTATTGTCTTTCTTTTTTATGATGCCAAAAAGGGAAAAATATTTGTATGCTCGGGTTGAAGGTTGGTTGGGTTAGGAGAGTTTGTTGACAATGGTGATATAATATTGTTGTTAATGGAAAGTTGTTTGGCTTGCTCATAGGTGATAAGTGTTGATTTGTTTGTCATTATCAAAAAGGGGGAAAATGTTATATTTTAGTTTTGATGATTTGACAAACAAAGGGATTTGGTAAGGGTACATGATCCCATTGTGTGAACCATGCTCTATTGGTGAAAACGACAGCTGGAAATAATACACTGCCAATAGTAGACCTGCAGAAGCGCGACGCGCGTCTGTGCTGTGCAGCAGAGTCGTTGGCCAATGGTATTGCTAGCCTTACTTTTGGGTTTTCGTTCCCATCACATATAAGGCCAACATCATTAGACACAACCTTAGTTTTTGCACTCTCTAAAAGGATTGAAGAATATTGCAAAGACCACACACCAGAAATATCTTCCGGCGGAACAACAAGGACCTGATAGAGTTATCTTCGTTCCTAGTTTTTCTTAGGTTTATATTTCAGTATTTCACGTTGTAGATCTCTTCCTGAGTTATAAAGGAAGTGGATCAGTGATTGTTCTTAGTGAGTATCGTTTGGAGTCATAGCTAGAGTTAGCTATCGGAGTTGTTGAAGTCTAAATCAACTAGAGTTAGTTGTTTTAGTGGGCAATAGAATTATTGCTTAGTTTCCTTTGTATTAGAATTACTACATTGAGGGGGAAGGGATTTAGAGTTAAATTCCTAGGTTACAAGAGTTTGTAATCTGAATATTGCTCCATTTTGAGTGAAATGGAGTTGGGTTGAAATCCTGTGAGTACAGGTCGTGGTGTTTACCGCCCTTGAGCAAGTGAGTTTCCACGTAAAACTGCTTGTGTCTTTTACTTTATCGTTTGCATTATTATTGTTTTTGTTGTGTCAAGGGACCTGGTCCTTGACAAATAGTGGACGCATACATTCTATCAGATTTGATTTTTCCACCCCTAAACTAAGGTAAGATGGTAAGTATGATGTAGTTTTGTGTTAGTTTTTCTGTGTCAGTTTATGTGATAGTTTTATTTATAGAAAATTAATTTGAGCAAATTTCAAAGTTAAATTGAATTAGATTAACTCAATCTTTTAAATTAGATTTTGATACTAGAAAATTTAACAAAAAATATCATAAAGTGTACTTCTTTTTATGTTAATATATTTAAACAATATAAAATTAGTCAAAGATTATATAATTGATTATATAATTTAAAATCTCGATAAGCGAAAAATATATATAAAAAAACACTCAGGTCGGATGAAGTATTAATTAATTGGCAAAATGAAAAATCACTCTGATATAAGACTAGTTGACGTGAGATAATTAGAAATTTTTTAGTATGTATCTCAGCAACTAAAACTAGTTGCATGAGCCACCTTTCTATCTCAACAATAAATGAATATAAAATTGATCGATTCAAAAATATAAAATTTGAGGTCCCTCTTTTAGACTCAAAAATTAAAATTGTCGGGGCATTTCTATATTCAATATTGATATACTAATTATTATTTTTTCAGACAACATAAACATTCATTCTAAAAATAGGTCCGCCTCTACTTATTTGTGAGACAAAAAGACAATCTCTCACAACTAATAGATTAGAGGATGTGCTGTGGATGAGTAAAAGAAGTTTATTTTTTTTTATAAAAAAAATGCTTCTTTCTTTTTATTTTAGTTGACACCACTATATTTTAAGGGGAAATTAAATAAATACTTCATAAAAGTAATATAATTATAAATATATATCCCTTTATATTCATATTCCATTAAATAAATACACTATATACCTCCAATTAATTCAGCTTAACTGATACTAAATAAGTATCATATATTGTATTGGTATTATTAAGGCTGATAATTTTGCTTAATTGATATTGATTTAATATTAGTTAAGCAAAATTATCAACCTTAATGATACTAATACAATATATGATACTGGTTTAGTATCAGTTAAGCGAAAATTATCAGCCTTAATGGAGAGGGGCATGAGCTGTAATTATTTATGAGAGAATGAGTATTTCTTGAATTACTTTGAATTTGGGTATAAACATATAATTATTTTGAATTTTATGGTCATTTACATAGTTTTTCCTTATTTGAATACACTCCAAATAGATTAATACTCTCTCTAGTCTCTACTTAAATTTATGTATGGTAATTTAAATGTTTAATTGGACACTAAGTTTAAGGGGAAAAAAATATTTTTTATACTTTAAGGGGTCGTTTGGTTTAAATTCAAGTTATGATGGAATTAATTATGATGGGATAAATTATGATGAGATTAGTAGTGATGGGATAAATTATGATGAGACTGTTTTTTATTGAGTGTTTGGTTTGTTGTATTCAAAATAATAAATTTTAAGAACAATTTATTTGTTTACAAAAATGCCCTTCATGAATGTAAAAAGTGATGGAGCAAAAGGGTTGAAAGAGACATTTTTGTCATTTACTTATTTTATCCTGGGATAAGTTATCCCGAGATTACTATACCACCCAAGGAGAGGGATAACTTATTCCGATACTAATTATTAATCCCCGGATAAGTTATTTCGGACTTGCCAACCAAACAACAATTAAGTGGTACTATAATTTAATCTCATGACTATTTGGTATTATCCTTCACACCAAACGACCCCTTATGAGATAGGTCATGAGATTTACCTGGCTATAAGAACATGCCATTTAACTATAAAATGATAAATTGCCATAAAACGAGGGTTGAAAAAAGTATATATATATATATATATTTGTTTACATTTTTACTACAATATATATGACTATATGAGTACTTGTCGTATATTTGAACTTCTTTAACCTATATTCAAATAATTGTTTTTTCATCTAAATTTTATATGGAATCAAATATTGTTACACAAAATTTTAAATAATAATTATAGCAAAATCACATCCTCCCAAAAAACAAAAAAAATGTGGAGGTTCTCTTCTCAAATAGGCAGAAAGAAAAGCGCAGCTGGTTTTGGCTGACCCAAACTTTGTACTCAGTTGGCCCCACACCCAAGTGCCTCATGTAATGTAACTGCTCTCCCATTACACATTTCCAATTTTACCCCTCCCTTTTCTCCTTTATATAACTAAATCTTCCTTCCACCTTCTCCTCAAACCTCACTCTTCAAAACACCAAAATTCCTCATTTCTCCTTACACAACAACAACAATGGCTAAAGGAGGAAAACTCACAAAACTCAAATCCGTGTTGAAGAAAATGCAATCCTTCAAAATTGGCCGCGTTAATGGCACCGCTGCCGTAGCAACTCATCATCATTCTTCCTCCGAAGAAGACGATTCCTTTTCCGATGAAAATCGCTGCTCCGGTAAGGATTTGTTCCCGGTCTACGTCGGGAAATCTCGCCGCCGGTACCTAGTGAGCTCCGACGTCATCGATCACCCGCTATTTCGCGAACTTGTGGAAAGGTCCGGCGAGTCTGAAGAATATATTACAGTTGGATGTGAAGTTGTGCTGTTTGAACATTTGCTATGGATGCTTGAAAATGCAGATCCTCAGCCGGAGTCATTAGAGGAATTGGTTGAATTTTACTCTTGCTGATGTGGAATAACTGTCAGTAACTGAATGGTAAAAATAACTGTGACGTGGACGTCGAAATTGGAAATGGCTAATATTTGGTATATAGTTGTAAATTTAATTTTCCCAAGAGTTAATGATTTTGATTAATTAGTGGTTTAGAAGGAGCGGGGAAAAAAATAAATTAAAAAAGAGGATTAGCCTAAGGCAAATCTCTTTTGTATTGAAGAGATAAGCCTAATGAGTGATTTGTTATTTCTTAATCAATGCATGTTCCATTCTTTCCAAATATGTTCCAAGTTTTTGTTGATCTTATCCATTTTGTTCCTTCAGTTTCTTTTTTTTTTATCTTATTTGAAACTATAATGTTGACATTTTGTTGTTTACGATAAGAAAAATTAAGGGGTCATTTGGTATTTGATTACTGATAGAAATTAGTTGTGTAGTTTAGTTATTTATGTAAATTTGTAAAATAATAATCAACTTACCAAATCATACTTGGTATATATAGTAATAAAAAGACCCTTATATAGTTATTCTTAATAGTCACAACTTATCAAGAAGGACGACTCAAAAAATTTAACTGGCTATAGAGTGACTAAATTAAATTTCTCTCTAAGATATGTAGCGTTACACTTTATAGATACACTTGTCTCATACTTAATCAAAATTTAGAATCCATCTTCGTTGAATCAAATTGATCGTATATATAAGTATTGACTATAGTCGTTAGAATAAATAAGTAGATATGATAATAGGGAATGATGAGAAAATTGTTATAGGGGCGAGCGAGCTAGGTTAGACCAATGAATTGAAACTAGCGAAAATTGCTAGCATGCAAGCATTCAATTATTACCTTTAACGACATTCATTCTCCGACAAATGAATTACATGACTTGTTTTATATCGCAAGATTTTACGTGAGTATTTTATCTCTTTAATTTATTTGTGAAACTTCTGGCATTTTTCTATAAACAAAGGTTACACGTTATGCTAAGCTTAAGCATCTGATGTTGAAAAATGTGATAAAATTGATCCTTGATTTTAACGTACTACACAGCTGTTGGTTTTTTCTTTTTCCATACAGCTGTGTGTTGGTTGGGGTCACCAGTTTTAAATCTTTTATTTTTTGTGTGTTTAATTTGTCCTCCACATAATTTGTCCAAAGAGCTACTGGGCTCCTTGTACACGTACTCACTTTTTGCACGTATAACTGGAAGTTGATCTGTCAATATATAGTAAATACTTTTTCGATTAATTCCCAAACTATATATTATGTTTGAGTTTTGAAGAAGCTAAAGTCTTAAACTTCATGAACAAGGCTACTTAATTAACAATGACAATTATGTTGAGTTAATTTGCAGCTTCTTAGATAAAATGATGGCTATAATTGCCCATTTTAACTACGTACTTAATTAGCTTCATAGTTTAGCATGTAACTATCTATGATCATGTCTATATATGTTATTCACTCCGATCCTTCTATCACATTTTATATGTCGTATTTTCATTTTTAGTTTGTGTAAAAAAAGAACTATTTTTACATGTAGATACAATAATTAACGTTAATATTTCATTTTCTCCTTAATGAGATGATTGTTTAATTTACGGCTTGTTTTAGGCTATAAAATTTAAAAGATTTTGTCTTTTTAAACTTCGTGCCTAGTCAAGGTCTTACATTAAAATTGGGATGGATGGTTTAATTTGGTTGGGAACAAGTTATCCCGAGATAAGTTATTCCACCATGTATATGAGATAACTTATCTCATCACTAAGGTATAAATGGTGGAATAAATAATTTCAGAACTTGTTAATACCTCCAACCGAACACACGATAAAATAGTCCTACATTTTATCCCTAAATTATTAAACCTTATACCTTATATCTTATACCTCACACTAAACGCGAGTAAATAACTTTGGTTTCTGGTTTGTAGATTTTGAACTCCTTACTACCCTATCATTAATTTAATATTATTATTAATATAAAATACAGTGGTCCTATTTACGTAACGATGCTTATGGCTTAATAAAACAAATTAAAAAGTAACTTTTGCAGCGACCAGCTGGTTGTTTGTAAAGGTTAATTTACATCTAATTTAGTTTTTGTACATATACTTTGTTTTTTAGATATCTTAATTAATTACTTCTTCCTAATTTTTCTGAGTCTTTCAGTAGTTAGTGGATCAACTGCTAGGTTGTAACTTCTCTTTATATAATATAAAATAATATAATAATTAATATGTTAGCTCTTAAGCAGAGAAAAGTAATCTTTTACAACTTGTTTTATTATTCAACCCATAGTAGTAGAAAGAAATTAAAAGAAATGGGCAGTCAGCATGCATATTTTATTATACTAATGATTGGGTAGTTGAAGATGCTTTTGTGTTTTTTTTTTAAAAATAAAAAGAAACATCTATATTGATTTTGTTAATATGGAGACAAGTATAATTATATATTAATTTACACATTAATTAAATGGTGTACCCAACACACGCTCTTGTTTGTAGCTTTGTTTGTTGGTAGAAAGATATTCTCATTGCCCTTTTGAATTAAAATGTTTAATAAATTATTTATGAAGAGATATATGGATTTAAGGAGGATTTTTGTGTATTGCTAAGTGGAAGACATGAAAAAAATTATATATTAGTAGCTCCTAACACGCAGTGGAGCACCTTATTATCTGTAACAACGCGTTTTTAATAAACTCTAATCTTTCTAACTTGGGTTCATTATGACTTTAATTTGATATTTTGTTAGAACAATTAATTCGATCAGAATAGTGAAATTAATGAAAAAATTTAAAAGAATTAAATATTATTTTTCTTTTCCATTTTTTTTGTGAAGACAAATATTTGAAAAAGTTTTCGAGATTTTCAATCGTTTTTCTTATCGGGAGGAATTAGGGGTATGTAAAAATCGGTTTAATCGATAAATTGAATAAAAAATATTATATTGGTTTATCGATATTAGGTAATTGGGTTAAAGGTTTTATAAATTTTTTTATTTGGTCATCAATTTGTTTCCCATTTAATTAATGGTTATATCGATAACCCAATAAGGTTATATCAAAATTAATATTTATTTCTAATTATATAACAATGACTTTAACATTTTCCAACCATATTTCTTAATTTTTAGAATTACTTTCAATTGTAGGCAACACAAACTAGTCTCTCTAATACGACACCTTCTTTCTTTTCGATATAAACTAATATTACATACCTTCCCCCTTCTCAGTTTCAAAATTTGATTGTAACAAAGAGAAACACTTAATGTTATTTCGGCAATTTCTTGCCTGATTCTTTAGAAGGAATTCAAATAATTTTGTCTTAAACAAAAGTAATCAATGTAAAAATTTGTAATGCACTTCTATTTTTACTATTATTTCTGTTTTATGAACATTGTGTATATATGATTATTTAAGCATATTTTTGTTGATTAAGCTGGAAATCAATTAACCAAAATTTGATAATAATATAATATCTTATTGATTTAACTATCAATTTAGTTGATTCATAAATCAAAACTGATAAATCAAATCGATAATAAATAAATTAGACCAAATCGATCAATGCATACCTAAGATGAATAGTTTGGAAAGGAAGCAAGACCAAGAACTAAACTATTAGTAGAGTAAATTATTTTTACGTGTCAAGTTAAATATGAATAAATGACTTCAATCAATAAAATTAACCAACTTCTTTTTTTGATTTGAAGAAAATATTTTCAAAAAAAAAAACAATTCCATTCAGATTGCTTTGAAAAACTTGTTTATCGCGGATAATATAAAAATATATCCTCTTATCTATTATGCCGTACACCTGCATGCTTTTGTCTGCCACTACACTACAATATCTATGCATTGGGCAAAAAAGGGTTTACTGTTAGGATATGTGATTTTACTTGGCCAAATTAGGGGTATGATTGATCAGTTTAGCTCGGTTTTATGAATTATTAATTTTAGTAATCCGCCCATATTTTGATGGGGTGGGTGTGACTTTTTTACATGGATAAAATATGGGTCGATACCCATATTCAATTCATAAAAATATGGATAAAATATGGGTAAACTATGAGTAAAATATGGATTAGTTAAATTGGTTAAACTTCTAACTTTTATTCACTCAAAATTCATGTAAAAAAAATTGTTACTTCTCTTCCTTTTTATGTTCTTCTATAAAACTAATTATTTTTCTCTATAATTGAAAAGGTGAAGTCTTTGGCCCTCCAAAAATATATATTTTAAATGCACATTTCTTTTGTTAATTATAATTATATCTTTATATTTGTTTAATTTTATATTGGCTAATAAATAATAGTGTAAAATAAGCAAATCATGTATTAGTATTGACATTGCTTAAGCCGTAAAGTGCATTAAGCATGTTTTAGTCCTAAATTTCAACTATTCATTTACTTTGAAATTAAAAATATTCTCCCCTTGTTATTACATAAATTTATTTTATATTGAAAAGTTAGGATGTTATTTATTTTTTACTTTTATGATACAATAAAACTAAATGAAGCATTTTCAATATTTTTCATCTCAAAAAAGACTAAAATATTTTCTCCATGTTGAATTCTTAAGTAGAGTACTATTTACTCATGAAAATATGGGTAAACTAGTATTTTACCCAATTCATTTTTACCCATATCAAATATGGGCTGGTTGAATTAATACTCATTTTATGTTGACCCATTTTCAACCCACCCAAATTTGACCCAACCCGCCTATTTGCCACCACTAAGTCAAATCACAGCTCGGTTTTATGAATTATTAATTTGATAAATTTATTGATTTTTGATTTTTAAATACGCTAAATTAATAGTCAAACCAATAAGAAACTTTATCGATTTTTGGTTTATTGGTATTGATTCTTAATGGTTCGGTTTCAGTTTAACCAATAAAAAAACTTATAAAACAAATATATGACTTCTCTAACAATTTGACGCGACAAGACAATAATGTAACTTTACAAATACTCATAAAATAGAAAGTAAGAAACAATAGCAACTTACGTGAAAAGACCTATACAAGTGTAACGCAAAGACAAATTAAGAGGAATAGTATGGTTCTTACTTTAGGTTTTGACGTTTTATATAGTGTGATATTTTGAATTCAAAATCATTGTGAAGTGTGAATGAAGGCTATAGGACAAATGCACTAACTAGAAAGGTATTGATATTTATATTTAATATTTATGTACTGATAAAGTAATAAATTAAATTACTACAGTCTTAATGAGTTATTAATTGGTTTATCCAATATTAAAAAGCAAAAACAGAACCAATAACCTCATAATAAATTTTCTTAGAAGACCATTAAAAAATCGTTATCCCAACAATAATAAACCAATAACACTTTTTCAATATGATT